TTTTTTTTTTTTTTTTTTTTTTTTTTTTTTTTTTTTTTTTTTTTTTTTTTTTTTGATCCGTATATCAATCAATGTCCCATTTGCGGATGGACAAACCAAGAATATAAGCTCGTTTCATGGCACCGAGATAAACAACACACTGACTCGTGTAGTACTTTTCCGGATACAAGCGAGGCATCGATGGAACGGGGGTGGGGGTGGGGTGGGAAACTTGAGTTATAAATAGCTAATGTGCCGATACGCTCTCGAGAGTACAGCTTCAGCTGGCACTTTGTGGCTACGTATACGGGGGAGGGAAAGGAATTCATTAGGGAGTAACGAAGAGGGGTCGCGTTAATTAAAGACGATCGTTTACTCGCGTGGCTCAACCATACCGCCCTGATGATGATGAATTTGGAATTTCCGGGCACGGTGGGAGGGGTTACTTGGACGACAAAGTGGCATCTGATGCACACACGCACACAGGTAAAAGTGGGGTTTTGAAAATAAATACGACATTTTTTTTGGCGCTGATGGAAAAACCGCGCACAAAAGTCGCGCCTTTTTGACAAATTCAGCCACTCGTTTTCAATACGAAGACGATGGCGGTATCAAAGTGTCAGTGCAGAAAGAAGGCGGGAGGAGTGGGATGTGAGAAAAAAGGCTCGTCGGGGAGGAGGGGCGAGAAGCTCGAAAAGAAGAGCGGCCTTTTTGCCGAAAAAAAAAAAAAAAAAGAAGGAGGAGGAAGAACGAAGGACAGCTCGCAAGCTTTGCCGAGCTTTGAAAAATTATCCCCTCAAGTGGAAGGACTTGCATACGTATGATACGAGTATGTGCTCCCTCGCTCGAGAGAAGGAGCTTCTTCTTCTTCTTTTATTTTTATTTTGTTCTCTTGTTACGTTGTCGCGTTCACGCCACGCGAGCAAACGGACGGATACTTTGATCGGGTTGCGCGGTGAGAGTAAAAAACAATAGCGCGGCGCAGGAGTCCTTTGAGATGTAACACATGGAAGGGGGACGTTACAAAAAAAAAAAAAAAAAAAAAAAAAAAGAAGAAAAATCAAGCAAACATGATCATATTTATGCGTGTTGATGGTATATCAGGGCAAAAAGTTGCACGTCATACATTTTGCAAATGCAGTGTCAGTCGAATGAGACACCCCGTCAAGCTAATCCCGCAAAAAAACAAACACACCCGAAATTAACGATAAGACCACTACCAAAGCAGTTAATGGGCAATCCACTCACGCGCGGCTAAAACAAAAGTTGCTCCTTCACGAAGCGACCTCCTCTCCCCAACACGCGTGTATACATTACTAAAAGCATCGGGGCAATATTATCCACCCCCCACTGCCGTCACGCCAAAAAAAAAAGATGAGCAAACCCACGCGCGACAGCTTCAGTCCCCTTACACTTGCTTCCAAAACTCCGCTTACCACTCGCACAAGGGCGCTAATGACTCCCGCCCAACTCGTCCGTCATCGCGCCGATCGATGTAAATTCGAAGCAAAGCGCGCACATGCACGCAAGCAGGGAGCATTGCCTCGAACCAGCTGCGTCGGATTATATCCTCGGGGAGCCGGAGAAGTTGGGCCACGGTGGATGAGGCCCCACTGATGGGCTTGACGAGACGCGGGTTATTGATGGAGGTACACGCAAATTATTTTCGCCCGGTTAACTTCCGCGGTGATTGGGAAAAGCGTGTCTGGGAAGGTTTTAGGGACCCGAGCATATAACTTTTAATCGACAAAGTTTCAAGGGGAGCGCCCGCGACGAGTGTTCCGTCGTACATGAATCGGGAAATGCTCTGTTTTGGTGTATCGCACCCATTGATCACTGATGTATGGATACATGGAAGTTTGATCGTCTCGGCTTGCGGGGGAAGCCGCGGGTTTTTGGGTGACTCGTTGGGTTTTAGACTGTAGGGCGCGCAGAGGATCGGCCCATTCCTTCCTTCGGGCGTGCTTTCGTGGTTACCGATGAAGCTATTGTATACGCTTCACCAAAGTAAAAATGTAGCAACATCTGTCCATTGCGTATATATAGGATGATAACGTGTTTGGTTCAATCGTCCCCTCTCTCTCGTGGGTATTATGTATTTTCGATCGGAAGTTCGAGTGATGACTAGTTAATTAGTTCCGACGGAGCGTCAATCTTCGGCTTGAGGTATATGCGGTTATGCGCGCAGTTAACTGATCGTGATTGGCATTGATTTACAGTGAAAACAAAGTTTTTTCATTAGCATTACAGGTTGGTTGGGTGATGAGTTATCCGATGAAGATTAGACGATTGCGGGAACCTTTTTTTTAATCCAATCTTTGCCATACGTCATACGTCAAACGTCCCAAAATGGCAATAAGTTATCAAAATTTTATTTTTCGGATATCGGATTTTTCCGAAACTATGAGAAATACAATACTTTTTATCTGGAATTTTACACGATAACCAGCTATTTCCAGATAGTTGACGTATCCGTGATATTTTTCCACAACAGCGCAAATAACATGTTAACTTTCCGATAAATTTTTTTCATTCAGGAATTGCAGGATCCCTCACGAAAAAAAAAAAAAATCCTTTGGAAAAATAAAAGATAGAATGAGCATAAAAAAAAATTAGTTTCGCGCTTGATTATGCTTGAATGGATAGGGAGTTAAAGTTTGCTACCAGATATTCATTTTTTTTATAGGTCTTGCACCGTTTAATCCAACGGAGGATAAACATAATTTTTTTTTTTTTTGCTACTCGTTGCATATTTACGTGAATTCGTGAACGCTTCGTCCGCAGGCTTTATTCGGTGGAAAGAGGAGGTCCTGAAAACCGGAACCTAGAGAGAAAAGAAAAAAAAAAAGAAAAAAAAACTGCGCAACAAGCTCCGCCAGACAGTTGCCCGCAGTATCGTCGCCCGGAGAAGAAACTTTGCTCCACCGTTGCAGCGACAATCGTCCTTTCCCGGCTGTTTTCTATTCCGCCTCTCTTTCGTCGTCGCCGTAATTGCGTCCCCAAAGTTGGAGCGATAGTTCGCGGAAGCGCGACGTGGGGTAAAGCTCCGATTCGAATTTCACGTCAGGTCGGCCGATGTGCTTTTGTCTCGAGCGAATACACACACACACACGTAGTGGAGGCGTCCGCGACGAGAGTTTGTAAACAGATAAGTATACGGAGCGAACTATGTATGTGGCGAGCTCGTCCTGCATGGGAATTGGAAATCGCCAGTTTTTGTTGGTTCGTTTGGTTTTCATACGCGTATACTTGTTCATTCTAGAACGGCTTTCTCCCTTTTTTTTTTTTTTTTTTTTTTACTAGGGTAATGAGAAGGTTTTGCGAAAAACACTTGGGCGTACTCATGGCATGATGTTATACAATAAAGACTGTCAAATGTAATTTGGTAGAAAAAATTCCTAAGGTAAATAGGTATTTGTTATTTTGCGTAATTATGTGCCATTGGCCATTACAGTAGTTTGAGTTAAAATGTAGAGGGGCTGCACACTTTTCTAGTCATTGGAAAACACCGTAAAAGTCTCGAAAAGACGTCTCAAGTCATTCAAAGACACAAAAAGGCTTTTCGAGGTCTCTGAGAGATTTTAAAGTTACCCAAGACTATGAATGACTGTGGACTCTCCCAAAGTCCTTCAAAGACCGCAAACATTTCGGACTTATCATCGAGCCTCTCTGTTAAACCCAGATGGTCGTCCTCGCAACGAAACATCAAATATTAAATAAAAA